CCATCCTTCTGCAATGTGTAGTTGAGATGTTGAGCAGAAAGGAACTTGCAGTAGGAAGCTTAATGGCCCGAGAATCAGATCCACCTAAGGACCTACCTCGACCAACAGCAGACGAGATCCCACCCAGAGCAACATAGCAGACAAATAAGGAAAACTCTCCAGCTAAAGCAAAAGATCCTCCCCTGAGGGAACCAAGGTCCAAGAAGGGCTGAAGGACACCCATGGACCCCTCCTCAGCCTTCCCCTCAGCTCCCAGAACCCTACATTGAAAGTTCTGGGACAGAACCATATTCCTTGCCTAACACATGTGACAGAAAGACATCTTCCCAAGGAGAAGCTCCAGATTGGGGGTTAAGGTCAGTTGGGAAAGGAAAATGCCTCAAAACTCCGGTAGGACTAGAAGGGTCAACTGCCTCTGCCGTCATAGTGGATGGGACCATCCCTGGAGGAGGCCGAGCTGCACCCCGAGTTAACCCTTAGACAGCGGCTATTGAAAAATGCCTATGCGCAAAATATTTAAAAAATTCCAAAATATATTTTATTACAGATTTACACATTCGTATGCAAAATGTATGAAACACTAAAAAAAATATTATAATTATGCACATTTTTACCGGTAGTAAGAGCTGTGAAAAGCTGTGCTGTGGCAAGGCACAGAGTCATCACTCAACACCCAATAATAACTTTGCTGACACAGTCTGTATAAGATACGACTCCAGTGTTCATCTTAGATGTTTCTTTGATCATCTATTACTCGTTTTCATGTATTTATTATATTATATAGTATGAGTGTTCAATAACTTATGTGGGGCAAAATTTGTATGTGCATGCATATGCATGCAAGTGCATGTGCAATTACCTAAGTGCACTTACAGGGTAAGAGGTACGCTCGTAGTGTCCCATCTTTCCAGTATTGTTTGTCATAATGCTATGAAACTACTAACGGTTTTGGCCTCCAGCACCTTCTCACTTAAACTTGTTCCAACCGTCTAACACACTGTTTGCAAAAAAAAATAGACTGGTAGGAACATAATTCTACCTACGAACATACGAGTAGGAATAGAGCAACAGAATATAATATACCAATAGGAACTACATCCACAGCCATTATCAGTAGATAATAGGGCAGAGACAGATGGAAACCCAGAAAGAGGGACTAATCTCTGCTTAGAATTGCTTGGAGTTCAGTCCCATCAAATGACATACTCTGAAGGTGAAAAGACCTTGAACCCAACAAGCTGAATGATGGTAGCAACAGAGATCACTATCAGGGGTTCAAATATATACAAGTACAGTACATCCCAAAAATCTGCAAATCCCAATGTCAGGTAAACAATCAAACAGAACATTATGTCCCAGCCAGTACAGCACTGGTTATCTTGAGGTTATCTTGAGATGATTTCGGGGCTTTTTAGTGTCCCCGCGGCCCGGTCCTCGACCAGGCCTCCACCCCCAGGAAGCAGCCCATGACAGCTGCCTAACACCCAGGTACCCATTTTACTGCTAGGTAACAGGGGCATAGGGTGAAAGAAACTCTGCCCATTGTTTCTCGCCAGCGCCTGGGATCGAACCCAGGACCACAGGATCACAAGTCCAGCGTGCTGTCCGCTCGGCTGACCGGCTCCCCAGACCGACTGTAATACAGACAATAAACCACACAGTGACAAGGGCCACCAGCCACTCATGATTGTACAGACAAACTGGCATGTTGGGTGCCAGTAGAGCATCTCGGTGAACCCCACAACATATACCACTTGTTAAAGAATGACGTATGCTACCATGTACCTATTAGGAAAGGTGTGCACCTAACAGTCTCTCACCCTCAGCTAAAGTGCAAGGCTTTCCCCCCCCCCCCTTCCCCCAAACATGCACCAGGGACAGAACAAAGCATTACAGGCTGGACTTACATGCCCAAACACACAGTCCTGAATGACCCCGAGTAGGGTTAGCTGAATGACTTAACAGTAGTCATTCTCAAAACAAAGAAAAGACTTGTCTCCCCAACAACAAACCCCACAGGATTAGAATACTGTATATGAAATGTACTGCCTGGATATCAGGGAACTCAAGAGGTGCCAAACACACACTGCTGGAAACCTACAACCCCTCAAGAGCAGATTTCTCTGGTGGTCACAGTTGGAATGAAATGGAATCTAGAGCACATGCAATGTCATGAACACAATTGCAAAGCATGAAGTTAAGCAAAGCAATGGACTAGCAGGACTTATGTTCCAGGAAAAGGCACCACCACCTGGCTGAAGGTAAAAATCTGTGGAAAAGCGATGGTAGGTGTGAAATTTAATGCTCTTTCCTAACTAGCCAGGAGAGAGCACTTGCTAGTTAACTCTTTCTGGAACCTAACTAATAGGAAGCAGTGCAGTTGGCCCTATTTCTAAGATTGAACCTCAACAATGCATATACAGTACTAGATAATTGAAGATGGACCGAAGCAATAAGCAGACAGCTGGAGCTCATCCACAACTGCATACTTGTCAGTATAAATAATATCTAATCAGTATAAATAACATCTAAATATTTGGTGCACATAAATGAATCAATCATATCAGTGAATGTGGGAGCATTCAAGGCATGAGAGGGAGCCAAGGGCGAGTACAATATCACAGCCCCTTAATAGTGAGGGGGTAGAGTATTCAATGCCAGTGTAACGAGGAATTCATCAGGGATGAAGCACTGGTCACACTGGGCAACGTAGTAGTAGCGGAGGCAGGGAGGATAGAGAAGTTGATGAAGGGGTGGTGCTGAATCAGAATCCAAAACAGAGTCCATGGAGCCACTACAGACCATAGGCCAAATTCACAAAGCAGTTATGCAAGCACTTACGAACCTGTACATCTTTTCTCAATCATTGCCAGCTTTGTTAACAATTATTAAACAGTTATTGAGCGCCGAAGCACCTGGATGCTGTTTATAACAATAACAACAGTTGATTGGGAAGTTCTCATGCTTTTAAACCGTTTAATAAATGTAACCAAAGCCGTCAAAGATTGAGGAAAGATGTACACGTTCGTAAGTACTTGTATAACTGCTTCGTGAATCTGGCCCCATACCACCAGGTCATGAGAAATAGGTCTCCTAGATACACCCAACTCGAGGGCCTGCTCACACACCACATAAATTTGAAATGAAATAAGCAAGTAAGGTTTGAGAAATGCATGACATACACTGAAATATCCACCACAGAGCTCAGCAAGGGATGATATAAGCAATCAAGTGACTCCAGGGGGTACAGCGGAGAGCATAAGCAGGTAATAAGCAGAATGTGTATGGCAACTCGGGGACCTATAGGAATAACAATCCTTAAATGCCACTTGTCCAAGTCCAGATAAGCCCTCAATTAAAACAAGTCAACTGATATATCAGACCTAACTTAACCTGCTGTGTGTTCTGTCCATTCCAACTCAGGAGAACTATTTTGAACTATTTTTCTCCATAGAAGTCTAAGCCTATGGATATATTCAACTTCTAGCAGAAGAAAACAGGAAAGATGCTGATCTCCACGCATGGAAAACATGTCGGTGGTAAAAGACTTGGTCCTGCTTCTACCCCAGAAGACCCTCAAAAGAATCTGCTAACAGAACATGCTAAACTGAAGTAAATTACTGTATCTCACCCACATGACAATGGTAGCTAGCATGAGGGGAAAGTCTTGACTAACAATCTGCCAGATTCTGCTCAAGGCTTCTGGCAGATGACATTCAGGTCTCACCCCGCCAAACACACAATGAAACTACTGTACAACGTTGTTACAACATTCAAACAAGTTTTAACACCTAACAATTGTATCAACCAATATAATATGTTGTAACAACGTTCTTATATGTTATAAAAACATTATGAACACAATGTATAACTTTATTACAAGTTGTAACAAGGGAATCATAGGGATCATTACATTGTGTGTTTGCAGGGACAGGCCTGGTGTGTGGAGCTAAAGCTTTGTTGTACCAGTGTATAAGCTAGGAAAGCCACCGAGTTGTCCCTCCCAGAAAACATTTACGGGACAATAATGAATGCATATAACAAACAGTATATGGTGAAAACACGACTTAAAGTGTTTATATGGCTTGGTGAAGCCATTGTGTACCAATTACAAGGTTTTGGTGAAACATGGTGAACTGACAAATATCTGCATATTCATACGAGATATGTCACCAATACAGTATTGGGCAAAACAAATATCACTGGAGAACACTGAGCATGGTTAATACGCAAATATAAACGAAATATGGCGGAAACAAATAACGAAGTTCAGTGTGTGTGTGAATATATTATGTTATTATTATAAGTAATATAAAAATATAGTAAGTTATTTAATCATTTTACTAAGATATATTTAATCACATACGTGAGGAGTGATCAAGCTTGAAAATATCTTCGAGATATATTAACAGTGGTATAATTAATACAAGGTGATGTAATAACTGCAGGGAGTATATTGAGTTTAAGGAGTGTAATGTGTGCAAGACTGATGCAAGAAGCACTTTGAAAATAACAGAACATACATTTACACACATTTTGATACCAAAATCACTTGTAAAACTGAATTTTGTAACAAGCTGTATTTTATTGAATATGGTTGAGGCTTTCGTCACCACATTCCTGTCCGGCAAATATGCAAACTCGCTCCAACAGATGTCTTCCATTATTTCCCATGGCAACCAATTGCAAATTTCGTTACAGCTACACTTACTGTATTTAGTTTTCAAGTCAAAAGTTCTACCTCCTTCCTTGATATATTAACTCTAAAATCTACCATTAAGAGGCTCCCCATAGCAAAATAATTGTTTATACATTAAACTTTCTACATCAACAGAAATAAGTGTTAAAGGTATCAAGTTGATATACAAAGGAGTTTTCCAGATATCGTGCGTGCACACAGCAAAATTGTCAACAAAAAAGATAAATAATTATATTAAAATCAAAGAAAGCCCTACTGGCAATACCAAATAAAAAAGTAAGTGGCACAATGAACTACTTACACTTCCTCTGGTTCCTCCTCAGGCTTGCGCTTGTAAACAAAGGGTAAACCATTTAAGTGTGAACCTGCCATCCTGGAGGAAAAGAATCCATATAAGAATACTGTATACAACACTGCATTCGTGTTTATAAAGTACCTTAACATACAAAAATATTTACACATACATACACATACAACAAACTACTAGAAACAACACTAGACAAACGTGAAGTTAATGTAGAAGAGGTAAAAACACACTTGCAGGAACTGGACATTGCACAGTCAGTTGGACCAGACCAGATATCACCATGGTTACTGAAGGAAGCTGCAGGGAGCATGTGTTACCCATTAACTATTGTGTTCAACATTACTCTAGAGATGAGAGAGCTGTAACGGAAATCTGGAAAAAAGACCAATGTACAGTAGTTCCAATATTTAAGAAAAGGGACAGATAAAGTATGAACCTGTGTCCTTAATATGCATTCCATGCAAGACTCAAAGTCGTCAGAAAAAGGATTGAAGAACATTTGGGAGGAGCAAATTTTATAACGGAGGAACAAGATGGGTTCAAAGACAGAAAATCATGCTTAATGAACTTGACTGAATTCTATGACGGGTCATCAAAATAAGACAAGAGAAGGAAGGATGGGTAAACTGATCTGTATGAGACGGATTGGTAGATCTGTATGAAAAGCCAAAAATCTTTTCATACAGAACCTTACGAAAGATTAATACACAAAGTGAAGAGATAGACAAGCGGGGATAACAGGAAAGGCACTGGACTGGGCTCAGGAGTGCTTGATGGGCAGGAAAACAAAGGGTCATAGCCAGAGGATGTCAGGTTCAAGCAGTGTGAAAAGTGGTGATTTTTTTTTTTTAGATATATATACAGTACAAGAGTTGTTACATTCTTGTACAGCCACTAGTATGCGTAGCGTTTCGGGAGGTCCCTGGAAGACGACCCCCACGAAGAATCGTCGTTACAACCAAGTACCCATTTTACTGTTGAGTTAAACAGAGGCTACAGTTAAGGATTTGCGCCCAGTAAATCCTCCCCGGCCAGGATACGAACCCATGACACAGCGCTCGCGGAACGCCTGGCGAGTGTCTTACCACTACATCACGGAGACTGGTTATTCCACAAGGTTCTGTTCTAGGACCAATGCTTGTTTAATTATGTAAATAACCTCTTACATGTCGATGTTTACTGATGATTTGTAGTTAATAGGAAGAGTAAGAACTAATGAGGACTGTAGAGTGGTGCAAGAAGACCTTGACAGACTTCAGGAGTGGATTGATAAATGGCTACTGGAATTTAATCAAAATAAGTGTAAAGTAATGAAATGGGTAAGGAGACAGGGGACCTGTATTTAACTACACCATAATGGGAAGGCAATTACAAGAAACAAATAAAGAAAAAGACAGCTGCTATGGACTGCATCCTGGAGATGTGTGTGAGAGAGAGAGAGAGAGAAATATATAAAGATATAATAGAAAAAATAGGTTGGGAGTCAGTACATTAGACAACCGACGGTTAGAAAGGCTAACAGCTTGATCCTGCAGGCAAACATAGTAAATATCTGTACATACACACACATACATACATAGATACACATATCTACCGAAGAAACTATATGACTTTTGCGAGACCAAAATTGAAATATGCAGCAGTTGTATGGTGGCCAAATCTCAAGAAGCACAAAGAAACTGGAAAAGGTGCAGCGGCAAGCTACATAATGGCTTATGGAACTGAAAAACAAGAGCTATAAGAAGAAACTGCAGACATTAAACATGCCAAAACTAGAAGATAGAAGAAAATGTGGTGATATGATCACCACATACAAAATACTAACAGGAATCAACCAAATTGACAAAGAGGAATTCCTGAAACCATCAACATTATAAACAAGAGGACACAGTACAGATTCAAGCTAAGGAAACAAAGGTGCCAAAAATACATTAGTAAGTTTTCTTTTGCAGAGTGGTAGACGGTTGGAACAAGCCAAGTGAGAAGGTGGTGGAGGCCAAAACCATCAGTAGTTTCAAAGCGTTATAAGAAAGAGTACTGGGAAGATGGGACACCACTAGTGGAGCATTAAGCCATTAAAGAACTCGGTAAAAAAAGATCTAGGGATGTATCTGGACTACATAAAGGACATCGTGTGAGGTGCCTATGCTGCCCTTTCCAACTTTAGAATTACTTTTTAACCCTTGGGAGGCAGCTGCCTAAAATACATGGACAGTGAAATAATAAAGAAATTGTTCACAACTTTTTTTTTTTTTAGACTAAAATTGGAATATGCAGTGGTGGTATGGTGTCCATATTCAGAAATATTAAAAAACATATCAATAAACTGGAATGGATTAAAAAACACACTACTAAATGGCTTCTGAAGCTGACAAACAAGAGCTATGAGGAGAGGCTAAATGTATAAAGTGCACCAAAGCTCAATGATAGCAGGAAAAAAAAAGATTATATGATCACTACTTACAAAAATAGTAACAGGCATTCACAAAACAAAGAGGAATTATTTTAAACTTGCAACTTCAAGAACAAGAGGACATAGATTCAAGCTAAGGACGCAAATATGTCACAAAATTATAAAAACGCTCTCTTTTTGCAAACAAAGTAGAAGACAGAACACGTTAAGTGAGAAGGCAGTAGAAGCCAAAACCATCAGTAGTTTCAGTATCAAATAACAAAAAGAGTACAGTACTGAGAAGAAGGGACATTACACGCTTAGCTCTCATCCTGAGACTACACTGAAGTAATTACACACTCACTCACTATCCATTCTTATACTGTATACATACTCCTTCCTCTTGATGACAAATCATGAGTATCTGAGTGAAAGTGTGACTGCATGCGCATCCAAAAGATATGCCTCTATTCTTAGATACAATTCCAGGAATATACAGTATAGTACAGTAGTTTTATATATATAATGATATAATATGTTTAAATTCTTCAAAATTGTGGGTGTTTTATGAATCGGAACATTCAGGTATCAGATATTTGACTGTACAGGAGGTAAATGGCAATTATATATATGCTGTGCTTGTTATTGTTGGTAAATTTTTAGTTCAATTCAGCAAAGCATACCCATTTAAAAATGGGATTCAACTGTATTACAAACTTGCTTGGCCCCTCTGTTTTTTTCATTCCCTTTATTCATTCAAGTCACTACATTTGTTCATTAATACTTAAGAGTTAAGTGATATGCCCAATCATATGTTGTCACTAACATCTGCTACTGTATTTTTTTTAGAAATTCCTAAATATACAGCTCGTACATATATTTGGCATAATATCTACAATTTTGAGCATACAGTTCAATGTATAATAATGTTGTATACAGTAGTGTAAAAGCAAAAACAAAAACCTAACCTATAATAAGTCTAATTATATAGAAACAATTGTACACAAGAAATTGTCACTATGCCAAACCATTAAGATAAGTGGTATCATACCAACTGACCATCAGTACAGGTCGTAACTACATGCATTAAAGCAGAAAGGAGTGAAAATACTACACAACCTTCAATCACTATGTGCAAGATAAATTATTCAGAGTTTAACATGTAGTTTGCCATCATATATATACAGTATTCCCTTAATAACAGTACTTTTCATGTGTTCTATTACTGATGCGGAATGTATTTCTGAAGAATGGAAATAACAGTATGTAGAGACAATATGATTTCTGGAACACTACTTATCAGTCTAAAGCTAATTAGAGTACAGCACATGTAAACAAGTTTGATTTCAAATACCTAATCTTTTAATCATTTCAACAGCTACAGTAAATGCCCTCATATTATACATGAGATAATTTAAGTTGTGTCTGCGCTGAAACACTTTAAATGCCCCTTAAAATAAAAAACCTGCGCAACAAAAAAATATTTAGCCTAGTAAATATACATCAACTACTAAGCATTATTACTCAGAAAAATAAAGATAATTTCATACAAAACCAATAATAAACTAGTATGGCTTGAAGTCCCACCTGAAATTAAAACCCATTGGTGCTCGGGAGTTGAAGTAAGTTGCACTGGGCATCTGCGGAATGCCAAGGGTTGATGCAGTGGTGTTAGGACACACAACAGGCGGGGGTGGCATGGGTGGTGTTGTGAAGCCCCCGATGCCCCACATACTGGCTATACTGGGACGGGAGACTGGTGGGTAACCAGCTTGAGGGGAGGAGAGGGGTGATGTAGTTTGGAAACTCAAATAAGCTGCCGTTTCTGGTGGTGAGGAGGCAGGAGATGCAACAGTTAAGTTAGATTCCCCCACGGAAGAAGTGTGTCCCAAACTACCTGCACCGATGCCCACACCACCACCTACACTGCCTCCCATTGACCGGACCTCAGGAAAGTTCATTGTTATGCCACACCTGTTAAGAGGAATACAAATGGATTAGTAAAAAGTGAATATTAAGATGTGTTTCTAAAGGATTTGGAATTAGACTTGAAATATTAGAACAACTAGATCTGAAACATTGGACTGGAAGAAGGTTATTGACAATTATTATGTACTAATGAGATATGAATAGAAGCCCTTTGATAATTAAAAATGACATATGAAACTATTCACCGTTATATTTTTTCAGGGGACAAGTTTAATACCAATTCATTGGCAAATAAAAAAATCTAATTCCTAAAGGCTAAAAAGACAGATTCAGACCACATATGTCCTGATCATTTGGCTTCTAAGGAAGGTTTTAAGGGAGGGAATATACAACATTGACTTCTCTGACAATTTCCTATATTTTAACACCACCTAATTCTTCCTTGTGGGAGAGAGAGAACATTTTTAGTGAATATTAGAAGTTTCCTGAATCTCTTAGACCTAAATGAAAGAGAGACAACAATGCCTATGAAGTTGATGTCATCCAGGATCCAATTCTCATGTCTGCCAGCATAATAAGGTCAGTCTTGCCATCACAGTGATGTGGTTCTGAGGACCAAATGTCCTTACAGTAAGATTCACTGATTTTATTCACTTCCTCTTGACAATCATACATCTCAAATACTGTATTTAAACTGATCAACTAATCCCAGCACTTAACCATTCCAATTTATTTCACAAACAATATTTAGACATTTCTTGAGCATTTGTTGAAGAATTGTCTCTGAATTCATGCATATTTTTGTACTCCATCACAGTGATGGAGGGTTTGTGAATAATTTAGTTGACACAGTTTACATTTGGTCAGGTCTAAATCAGCAGGTAATGAAAACTCCCAGATACTTAAAGCCAAGTCTAAGCTGAGCAGTTGTAACATCTAGGAGTACCTGGATGAGGCTCTGGGAGTTCAACTCCCCAAGCCTACTCCCCAGGCAGTGAGAGCTTTGTCCAACAGGCTGTTGCTTGAAAGTGGCCCACATATCCACCACAGCTCGGTTGGTCCGACACTTTGTGAAGTTTTCGTTTTCTTCACGATAAAAACTATCCAGTTTTCTCTTCTGCCAATTTTATTGGATGATCCATAGATGTGTGGCTCTTCTTGCATGATAGTATGATTGATACTGCATCACATATTGGTGTCCAAATGCATGATAGAGCTCATGAGTTAACCAAAGAATCTGCCTTTAAAGAAGTTGAGTATAACCTTGGAATGCTTTTAAATAGTCTGAGAGAAATAATACACCAAGAACATCAACATCAGTACAGACAGAAATGTCACTAGCAGAGTATAACACAGTTTAGTCCTAGCACCAACAATGCTCACTGTCTACATAAAAGGTAAGATAACACCATTACCTTACTTTTTTCCAACACTGACCTTCAACTTTGTTTTCATGCACACACTTTCAAGCTCCTTCACAATCTTTTGCAATTCCTTTTCACTTTCAGCGAAGAACACTACAGCATCTGCTTATAGACATGCCGGTGCCAACAATTTATCAAATACAATGAACTGCCACTCCCAATATTCTCAAGTTTAGCTCCATAACTAACTCATCCATACACATACAATACTTATTATAGAGCCAGAGAAAGTGTAATCTTAAAATTTTTGCCATACCCCACACACATGCTCTGGTATTTGTTAAAGGATTATACTAATGTCAACAAACTTTCTCCTACTCGATAGATCTTCAAAACCTCCAATAAAACTACCCAATCAATGCAGTTATTTGCTTTTTCTAAATCTATAACAGCAGAATAATCCTACAATCTTCCCTACTACTCATTCCCTTCTATGTAGGTGCCTCAATGGCCTTTGCTCAAATGATAGGCACTTTACCATCCTGCCACATTTGACATTTTTAACTTTATGTCCCTCATCATCTCGCCCCCAAACCTAAAAATATTCTACACTTTTAGATTGTCTCGCAGTACAGTTGGCTTCGTTCTCAACTCATACAGTAACTGGGAATCCCGATCTCAATTCCCAAATGAGAGAAAAACGGTTGGGCACATTTCCTAGTGTGCCTCAGCCTCACTTAGCAATAAGTGAGGCAATAAGCAACTGCCTCACTACCTAATGCCCATTTTGCATTCACATTCTTCAAGTCATTTTCCTTCACAGCATCTGATATCTTTCCTAATCATTCTTGAAATTTAATACTTTCTTGAACTCTCTCTTAACTTCCTAATACTGCAATGAAAAAGATAACTATCACTTGCCCTTATTTTGACCAGCAATGCATAATACATACCCACACATAAATTCTTCAAAAATCAAAATGTTTATTTAGGTAAGGTACATACATAAAAGAGATTTTACAAAGAGTGATGGATTTATAGTTAGGGCTAGTACATACAGTGCCTAAAGCCACTATTACGCAAAGCATTTCGGGCATCTTCTCATTCTTGTCACATCTTTTCCACTACTTTTGCATCTTCAATGTATGGATGTGATTATGTATAAACAGGAACTGACTCTCACAGCAGCCAAAGGCTTTTATTTGCAGTTTCCTCAGCACTGGAAGAGTAACCTCCTTTGAAATAATAATACCTCAAAAGGTATGTAACTGAATCACTAGAAATGCAAATTATTTAGCTTAAACATTGGGATCTTGGTAATATAGCTTGTACAGCTTGGTCCATTCTCAACTCATAATCAGGAATTGCAGAGAAGAGAAATAGTTAGGAAAATTTCCTATCACCTAATGCCTCTATTCATTTAGCAGTAGCTAGGTACGTGGGAGATAAGTCAACCATTGTAGGGGTTGTATCCTAGGTAGGGTCAGTAATTTGACCTTGGGGTAAACTCGATACAAGCCTAACATACATACACAGGCTACCTGTCCCTGACAAAATTAATCATAATAATTATTAAGATCCAGTACCTTAACCCATTATGCAAAACAAACTTTTCTGCCACTCGCCTACAAGGAAAATTATAGGGTCCATAATAAACTAATTAAATAATGAATTGATACTTAAGTATATTATAAATTGTATAACTAGCTCATCAATGTTGTAACTTGCTTAGCAAAACGATTTTTGAGATTCAGTTCCTGACCCCATTATGTGCTTCTGCTGCCTATAGCCACAAGATGGGCATAAGAATCAGAATTTATGAAGTAAGCAAAAAAAAAAAAATTAAGACGTAGGTAGGAAGAAGAGGCTATAAGACACCTCCCACTGCTGCTACAGCATCACCTGCTCCTCCACGCCACACTCGTCTCTCCTTGGCCACACCTCTGCCTTCCTGTACGATAATACACACCAAAATCAAGACACCATTCAAGGTTTCCTTAAGACGTAAATCTGTTACATCAGCGAAACATGTCTCTTCTCTCTTCCCCTTCCAAAAAAAATACATTATACTTTCACTAAATATATATATTACTGACCTTCCCACGCTAGGATCAATGACCCCTCTAGCTAGATGCGTGAAAGATCTCCTGTCATAAGATATCTGAAGGCTGAAATGAGGGCTAAGACTCAGCAACAAGCTCCCTGCGGTGTTTACCAAACACTAGTCGGCTGCTGAGGCCGCGACGACTGCCGCCATGCGCACGGCTCCATCTTCGCCACAATATTGACAACTCCCTAAGAAATAAATCACCCCCAGCCTTTAAGGAGAGCGTCTTCCACTTTACAAAAGTCTATTGCGTGCTACTCATATACTGTATGAGAGAATCTTTCTATTGTGTCGATGAATTATGTCATAGAATCTAAACCAATATAGCTGGATAGATAATTCTAGATAACTCGCTAGAGTTGTACCTGAATTTACCAGAATTCTAAACTAATTCTTTTATTAAGTGAAGTATTAAGTCTTTTGCAGAGAAATTGACAACGGAGATTTGAAAATTAGCAGCAATAAATGTTACTCAGTAAATTCTATAATGTGGAAACATAATAACAATGCAAGACTTTGCATGTAGGGCATAACATTATATATATATATATATATATATATATATATATATATATATATATATATATATATATATATACACACACAAGAAGGTGCATTGGGTTTATAAGAGTACATACCATTTTATTTTAAAGCCACTAAGTACGCACAGCGTTTCGACCATGTAATTTCTGGGTAGATAATTTCTAGCAAAATTGAAAAAAATGTATTGTAAGAAAATATAACAAAGATTAGTAGGTACATTAAAGTCAAATTTGAGGGTTATCAACAGGTACATTGTAGCATAATTTGAGGATTATTTTGAAAATTATGTTTGAGCATAAACATCCATTCACTAATCATGTGTTATGCACCAAATACCCATTTCCACGATAGTGAAAAGGATTAGAGGGGCACGTAATTAATGTGTTCACGAACTGAATGGTTTATTTAACTAAGCAAGTGACAATCTTCTCAGCTAGTTACACACATTCCGGTTTATTACAAACGCACGCATATATATCTTCTTTTTTTAATGTCACAAGTGACAACAGTTTCTATAAATGGCAAGTTTACATCTGCAGCGAGTCAGTTACGCGGCAACCAAACTATGCTGATCCACTGATACCTCTTCCTTTGGAGTTGCTGAGAGTGGCCGTGGAGTGCGGACGTGTACTCGTCACTTCTGCTATTGACTGGAGAGTAGCAGTTGAACGTCGTCCGGCTGAGGATGGGATCGTTGTCACCGAGGAATCGTCGTTCGAATGCGAATAGATTACAGTTTGCAACTAAGTTGCAGTTTTCAATGGTACCAGAGGCGCTGTGGGAGGTTTTCGGGATGTGGCTGGCTTATACAGTTGCTGGCAACTGGCATTGTCCTGGTGAAATTCGGTGCCCCACTTTCTTTTGCGAATTGTATAAGTGAGTTTGAGTAAAGAATGCTCACCCTGCCTAGGGCTGGTGGGACAGTGAAGGCCGAATTATAGCCAGCATGTGACTTTTGTATTGGCTCGAGATGGCCGATTAAACTATTGCCAAGGTGGTTGGGCAGTTTACCCAAGTGTTGGGGGTGCGGCCAAATTATTTCACCTCGGGGGAACTTCAAGGGCAAACTAAATGGTGGGACTCCTGGTTCAACCTTGACAACGAATGGACATCTGTTCCGCTTGGGAGCCGCCGGGTCACATTGTTTCGCGAAATTTGGATTTTAATACTGCCGTTTGGCATTGTTATTCAACGGTCCGGGTTGTTACGACGCCTGGCGCACATACCGCCTTGGGTCACAGTATAGTTGATAAATTTTTAAAGTTTTGCATTCGGGGTTTGCCCGCCAGAGAGGGTAGACGTCGGCTGCGCTCTCAAGTACTTGCTGACCCAGTCTGGTGTGCGGTCGTTTTGTGGTGTGGTTCGTGGGGACTTGAGCCCGCGTCCTCCTGTGTGATGGAAGTGTCTATTCCCCCGGTGGAGTATTCCTTGACGTTTGGACTTTAATTTTCCAGGTATGTGGACTACCAACTCGTGGATGTGGCATTGTTTGACGTGTTGAAAAGTTGCCGTGGCGGACAATCGGTGGTGTATAGCTTATTTAAAGTCACCGTGCGGTTGTTGAGCAGTGTTCGCAGGTTGTCTACAGGGACTTCATAGTGCTATGATGTCGCTCCATAGAACCCGCAATCTGTTGCTGCGGGTTCTATGGTTGTTTTGGACCGCAGTGGCACGCCCGCGTATGCCAGAGGCCCACCCTACCTTCTCACGCTCGTGTATACACTACAAACTTGTAGGCCGTCCTCATCTTGAAACACCGTGATCGTCTGTCTTTTCCTGAAGTGAGACGCCAAGTTAGTGGTCTCACCCCTTTTGAGGGTGTATCCTACCCTCGCGTGTTGCGTTCTACCTTTCCTTGTTCTTCCCACCTTCCTCAGTCTCACAACCGTTTCCAGGCCTTAGACCCGAACACACCCAACACCTCTTCCCCTATTCCTGTGCGTCCTGTCCCGATAGGTCTCCCTCCTGGTTCTCCATCTGGAGTTTCACCCCTTCCTACCCAGTCCACCATGTCTGTCTTCTTTCCCATCTCCCTCCATTCTTCCCAACCCTTCCCCCAGTCTCTTGACCCTCCACACCACCTGTCTGTCCAGGCTGATGTCCATCATCCTCCCAGCAATCTTCGTGTTGTTCGCTCCCGTTCCTCTTCTGCTGAGATCATTGAGTCTGTCGCTCAGTACGTTGTTACTGGAACGCCTGTCTCTTAGTCAGAAACGTAAGCCTGGCTCCTCTCCTTCTTCCTCCCCAGGGGGTAAGAAGGCATCGCTTTCTTCCTCGCCCACCCTCCCTCTATCACTACGTCCCCTCCCATTTGGGTGGTCGGGCCCCCTGTCCCAGATATGGAAGTTTCTTTCGCCCCCGATTCCCTCTCGGTTGCTGGCCTTGCTGAGGTGCATTCCCTGATTTCTTCGGCCCCCCCCCCTCCTCCTGCTGTTTTTGAGTGCCCCTCTCGGTTGTCTTCTCCTCCTCCGGGGTCCCATCAGTCCGCCTCTGGTCTGTCCTCCCGCTCCCTTCTTTCCTTCCCTCCATCCTTAGTTTACCCATGCCCCCTAACCCTGATTTTGCTGACTCTGCTCCTGATCCTGAGGTTCTTTAATATACTGTGTTGTTCTTTGTTTCTTCATTGTTCTGTTACTGTCCTTTCTCTTTGGTAATGTCTAATCTTCAGTGGAATATTCGTGGATTTTATGCCAACTTCCATAAACTCCAACTTCTAATTACACAGTTTACACCGTTTTGTGTTTGTCTCCAGGAACCCATGCTTGGTGCTCGTCCTGGTCACTTTCGTGGTTATTCCTTTCTTTCTACCCTCCCCCTCGTTCCCCCATAACTCTGCTGCTTTCTTGATTCGTTCTGATGTTTCCTTCGTCCCCCTACTTCTTCCATCACTTATCCATTGTTCTGCTGCCCGTGTTTTTGTGGGTAAATGGTATACAGTCTGTTCAATTTATCTCCCCGCAAATGTCCCGCTTTCCCTTCCTGATCTTAAGCACCTCCTGGACTCCTTGCCAGAGCCGGTTCTCCTTTTGGGTGATTTCAACTGTCGACATACCCTCTGGGGTGATGTTCTGACCAAAACCCGAGGCCGTCTTCTCGAACCGTTCGTCCTCGCTTCTCTCTCTTGAATTCTGGCGAGCCCACTCATGTGGACTCTCGGACTCGCACCCTTTCCTGTCTTGAAATTTCTATTTGCTCGTCGTCCCTTTACTTAGATTTCTCGTGGCTGGTTCTTGACCTCCATAACAGTGATAATTTTCTAATCCTCGTTTCTTTTTTCTCTTTCCACCCTCTCCTTCCCTAGGTGGCAGTTTGCCAAGGCTGACTGGAACCCACATAGAGCTCCGCGACTCCGGCCACACTCGGCTCTCTGCTCTGCTCTGCTCCAGGCTTCGTCTCAACGTCTACGACACTGCTGTATCCAGGACTACTAAATAAATATGAAACTCACTAAACACTGTGTATCTAATCAACCCAACAACGTAACATAATCGTACGTTAAACTTCCTTTCTTCGTAAGCCTGTCCTTGAATCTCATCCCTTAGATGTCCACAGTCATCTCCGTCTGCCCTATAACGATCCTTTCTCTCTTCCTGAACTTCAGTCTGCCCTGGCCCACTGTGGATCTATCGCAGCGGGCTCGGATGACCTTCATTATGAGATGCTTCGCCATCTCCCTCCATGCACGTCTCGGTCTTTACTGAGTCTGTATAAGCAGGTCTGGGAATCGTAGTCAGTCCCTGAGGACTGGCTCGATGCCGTTGTACTCCCTATTCGGAAACCAGGGTCTCTCGGTACTCTCCCTACGGACTTCCTCCCTATTGCCCTCACGAGTCGAGTCTGCAAACTCTTTGAGCGTATGGTAAATGTCCGTCTGATGTGGTTCTTGGAACACCATCACCACCTCTTCTCAGTTTGGTTTTCAAAAGTGCCGCAGCACGACTGATGTCCTGGTGAACTTGGAGGTCTATATTCATACTGCGTTTGCTGCGAAGACCTCCGTTGTTGCCGTCCTTTTTAACTTGGGAAAAGGCTTATGACACGACTTGGAGATACCATATTCTGTCCCAACTTCGTTCTTTTGGCCTTCGTGGTAATCTCCCTCTCTCCCTCTCTCGTCGTTCCTTTAGAGTCAGGCTTGGTGCCATTCTCTCTGCCTCTTTTCGGCAGTATGAAGGTGTACCCCAAGGTAGTGTTCCGAGTACTACTATTTTTTTTTTATTTTTGGTTGCCCTCAATGGTCTTCTTTCCACCCTCCCTTCTAGCATCTTCTCCGCTCTTTATGTTGACGATCTTACTCTTTGCTGTCGAGGTGGTGATTCACCTCTCCTTCAACGGCGGCTTCAACTTGCGATTGATGCCGTGTCGTCTTGGGCCACCAATCATGGCTTAAAGTTCTCTACAACCAACACTTGTTCTATGAATTTTACTCTGAAGCGGGTCGTTCTTCTTCCCTCTTTGTCGGTTTATGGTCATCCCCTTGTGTACAAAGATTCCGCGAAGCTTTTGGGGTTATTCTTTGACACTCGTTTGTCCTGGTCGCCCCATATCTCTTACCTCCGTGTTGAATGCTGTAAGGCCCTTAACCTCAAGGTTTTGTCCCATACTTCTTTGGGTGCA